CGTCAAGCAGACTTCGTTGGCTGCAGAAGCTGCTCGGTCTCCCGTCATTGAGGGCAACCAGACTTCTACTGCTCTCGTACATTGTAATCACTCGGGCCTGAGCTTAGGCCCGAGCCTTACGCCGAATCAAGCACCGAACAGGCAACAGCAGACACGGGGACTGGACAATTCGAATCAGAACATACCTCCACTACAGCCACGGCAGTCACCTTCAGCCACTAGCCTGGCTTCCATACCTCAGGGTATACAAACTCTATGCACCGAATGAATATGTTTCCGAATTCTTATTTTATATTGGGTCAGAAGTTTAGTCCCTTATGCTCCAAATGATGAGGTTAGGAATGATAGTTGGGTTCTTTCGTACAACAATAAGGTGAGCTTAATACCTCACATTGCCATTGACCTCTTACCCCCTAAAAACATTTATCATCCAGACTAGAGTGTGCTTTCGAATCCCATTAGAGACGGGGTCGCAGTACAGACACTCCTAACAGCAATTTACCCATTCAATTGCGTGACACTTAACTATCCGTCCTTATATCACCTAAACTTACCTAGAGGGACTCTTTATTTATACAAAGTCATCTCGGAGAATTTGATAATTGTTTTCATAAGAACTGGGAAATAGGAGACATATTCAAGTTTCAGCAATGTCGCGATGCGCCAAAAGCCTTCAGAGTCCAGTTTGACACTGTTCTCGAAGGTGGGCTGGAACCAACCAGAGATACTTGTTAAAGCTTGATACAAGTATCAATTACCTAGTCTCAAACTCTCAAGCCTCAATTTGATTTCGGCAGTTTCGACCTCTTCTGGGTCTCATCAGCACTCCCAGTGGCAACTGAACCGAGCTATTACAGCGTATAATCTCGACATGTTACCAGCACATCAGACTGTCACGAGTGCACCTGGGTCGCAGGGCAGATGTGACTTTACAAGTAGGGCCAGGCCTCTGCCATATCATATTTATTGTGGGATTATCGATGTAGCAACCTGGAATTTTACCCTTACAATCGACTAGGTCATTAAAGTAAGTTTCGAGACTATCATTAAATTTTGAATAAGAGGCCAATTCGTGGAAATTTGGAAAATTTTAGCTATTAATACATTAATTTATGTATTTAGGCGATTGGAGTGACTATAACTCTTCTTCAACTTGTTGCTATTTCATCCTAATACTTTTATTACACATCACTATCCTTAATTTTTATGCTCGGTCGTCATTCATAATTTAGTTCGTTCCGGTCCGATGCTTAAACATATACTTTTGTTTCAACCCCTCTATATCCTTTACTGCTTTGATCATGATATATTTTACACCAGAAAGTTAACTATACTTGGCAATTTGACACGTCTGTCTGTTCTAGACCCTACTATAAAATCGTTCAGGCCTGATACCAAGGTGATCTTCGAAAAATTTTGTTGCTCAATACTCTCGTAGGAAGCCAATGGTTGATAGCATATTGGTTCATGCAAAGGACAGGCTCTGTCCAACTTTCTGAGCTCATATTCCGTGCGATTAGTATCGTTTCGCATCATTTGAGTAGTACTAGCACCTATAGTGGGTCATAAGAATGTGGTGTAGAGTGCTAATGGCCTGACGAAGTACACGGTCACGTCACAGGAGTTGCACGTACTGCCTGTGCACCTAAGACGATAATTGTCCCACGCCTACCCCTCACTAGTACGATACTTGTCCGTCTGAGATAAAGCAAATACAGAGGTGCAATCTTGCCCATAATCACTATGACGTACATGCTTGTCCTTATTTACATCCCATACACACACAGATGAGGATTTTAGAATCACCACCAGTCTGCGCAACTCGATTGTCTGTGCCATTGGGGGCTCATCGACGTCACTAGGCGTCTCAACAGGTCCAATGCCCGAGATGACAACCATAAGTGGTGCTCGCGGCAACGAGTGTGGCTCCGGCTCTTTGGTTTCGAGCAGGCGTCGCTTCAACTCTAACATCCTCTTGAGTGAGGCAGAAGTGGAGGCGGTCGAGGTTAGTGCCTAAACAATTTTCTCCACATACACTTCGCAGAAAGCTCATTTTTGGCGAAGCAATCTTGAATATATTTCAACCACCAGGCCTCTGTTTTGTGGCTTTCAATGTTGAATGGAAGTGGGGCTTTAAGGTCCATCGTCTTCTCACCAATCACAGACACATGTATAGACTACTCGTTTGGATTGGGTTGGGCCTTTCACCCAGCCCAACCTAAGTACTACACCCAAATTGTAAATATTTTCATTTCTTTCTATACTTTGTACTTTGGTGGTGAAACATGCCGACCTATTGACAAAGATTGGGACAACACAAAAATGCTTGTAAATAAAGATGGGTTCAACAGTCAGAAGTGGTAGAACACATGGTAGAAACTGGACATGAAATAGAATGGTCGCATACTAGTAGGTTTGCTGATTATGGTACGTATGTGTTTAAAAGAAAAATAGGAGAGGCTATTAAAATTGACAGCCTAGAAAATACGCTGAATGTGAGGAATGAGAGTAGAAAGGTGAGTAGTCAAAAAGAAAGCGACTTAATTCGTCTTCACTCACATTCGTCCAAAATGTTAGAGTAAGCTCATCAACCAAACCAGACATGTCAGACTACACAACCCCAGTCTTGCCTTTTCTTGGAGGGTTAAACGTTAATGGCCCTAGACTGAAAGGTAAAGACAAGTTGTTTCGTAACTTGATTTTAATGTTTACATGCTCATATCTCATTATTAACCATACTTGCTTACGGACTTACGTAATCTCGGTCAAGAGGTTTTCTTGTGTCATTAGGCCTTGATGACAAGGGCCCGAGATTAGCCTTTTGACGACTCTTATTTAGAAACGGTATTGTGTATAGGCCGTAAAACACATACTTACACACTCGAACAAAAGTAGCAGGACCAGTATGAAAGATAATTAACCAAACCACTCCATATCTATATATCTAGGTTTTTTATTTTCTTTTGGCTCAATTGAGTCTATACAAGAGGTAAGATAGAGCCGGATAGTGTTCTTGCCCTAGTGTTAATGTGGGAATTTTACAAGAATGACACCCAGCTCTGATGATGTCCATCATATAATGGGCGAAAGCTCAGCATCTTTTCACCCGAAACGAGGGAGGAAGTCTCGTGAACTGCGTCAAAATGCATATCGTATAATAACCAAACGGCTGCAGTATAACGAGATTTATCCGTCCTCATCTGGTGAGATCGATCAACAAATCTCTTCTTCATGCACTTTTGTACGAAATGAAAGTCTTCCTAACAATGTTATCTCAAGTGATTCATCAAAACCCAATTTCTCTTCGTATCTCATACATACTTTGCCGACTTGGGCCGTTGAAATAATCGAAAAAATACCTCATCCAAATGGGAGTTACTAAGTCAATCTCTTTTTCCTCTGATTCATGTTCATGAGACTAAATTATCTTCCCTGGCTTTTCCATCATTCCCCATTCTTTGTTTCACATTCCACGTTTTTCCTAATCTGCTTTATTTGAATCTTTATTTATGTCTCCTCTTCATATAATCACCTAATTCATTATATTCACTCCTGGTATACTTACAAACAGCATCTCTTAAGTCCTCCACCCAGACACTACTTTTGATGCGTTACAGACCTTATCAGAAAATCGCCGTGCTATGATGCACCTTATCGAATTTGCAGTATAAGGATACTGATAGTTTATCTAATCATGATGCACTAAAAAGAAAGCCTTACTGGGCCCATACTTGTGGTCATCGTGTATCCAAAATCTGTTTTCGACCTTTATCTGGTCATTCTGGCTCTCCCATCACGTTCGAGTTCCCTGGCCGACAAGGTACCCTTAGACCGGCACACTCAAATAGTGGGGGAAAATCGATTTTAAAATAAGGACAGGCCTTTGTCACCTCACTTTTATTATTGATACTCAGTGTTGAGAGAATCAGCTGTTTGCTATCCAACTCTATCCTCTATTAGTACGGTAATAGTTATATGCCTACAAGGTCACCGAGACACTACCGTTAAAAATTCAGGACTCACATTTGTTTGCACTGTATTAGGAGGAGCAATTGTCCCAGCAACAAATAAATGATAAAACTGCCCAAATGCGATAATTAGTTTTGTTCTGACTTGCAGTCCCAAAGGGAGTTTTCTTCCTGACACAGCAGCATTAGCGCCTCCAACTGGTGTTAATGCCTGGACAAGTCGGTTTAGTGACAGATGAGATAGAATTCTCTGCTATTTTCAGACTTAGATCACATGAATATTTCTCTCCATGCGGACTCACAGTAATAACTTTTTCTACTTTCATTTACGTCGCAGTAGCTGGGTTTAGACCACATCTTTAGCCTGAGTTTTCATTTCGAGGCTGCCCGGTACTTACATGCATTTCGCATGCTTGGAGCTTGGTAAAAATCCATATTATGAGCCATTCGACCAGAAGCCTCATTTCCTACTTTTGGAAACAATTTTTGGCTCCAAACGCAATTTTTCGCAATCCAACATCTGTTTTTTCTCATATACATTCTTGCACAAAAAGCCTGTTTCGACCTGGGTAATAAGCACTAAGTTACTCAGACGATTTTGTAGGTTCCCACCAAGGCTATTATCTTTATAACAAGACACT